TCTTTTCTATAAAACTAAGAAGAGTGAACGTTTGGCCATTTTAGTTTGTCTTTAGGTGGCAATGAGGTGGGTAGAAATCTAACCACCACCATCCCTCAAGAATTTTCAACATTGAGAAATAGCTTTCATTTTACAACACTGTCATTCTTCAAAGATTTTTCAACAGGCATCACATCTATTTCACTGAGTTTAGAAACAGCTATAACAAACATACATTGTTTTGATGCACATACTCATGTGTATCAATCTCCCCATCCAGAAGCATACCTTACACCAACAGAATCTACTCTTTAAATGGTGCCCCCAGCCAAGTGTTTCAGTTCCTATACTAGGGATTGCCAGTACAGAAAGGGTGCGTAAGTTGAAGTATAATTGTTCAGTTTTTTTTAAACAGGAAATAATCTGAAGTATTCTCATAAAGGCCATAATCCATCAAAAATTAAGCACTGCAGTTTTAATAGATTAAGCTCTGCACTGTAACTCTATGTGTGTCAACTCAAAAGTAAGTTCCATTTAGCCCAACATGATGCTTCCAGATCGAGGTTTCCTAGCACTGCCACCCAAAAGGTGCATCTATTCCATCTTTTCCTCCTTAGTGGATTTTTGTCTGGTAAAATGAAAGAAGCCATGGGAAAACGGGAGAATTGCAATTTGAAGACAAAGGTGTTGAGACTTCTTGGGAATGAGGTAGGGTGTTACACAATTATAGGCTTATCTGTACGTATCCTTACTCCTAATGTCTGTAGGACGACAGCCTAAATTTCTGCCATTGAAATCAGTGGCATTGGAATATTGGCCAGATTGTACCCAAAGTATTTGAACAGCTTTATAAAATGGTTTACAAAATGTAGGGTGCAATCCTATGGGTGCTGGACAGTGTTGGAGATGGGACTCTAAATCAGGAGTTCCCTCCCTCCACCATTACAACTGCTGGGGAGAGAACCACACCAGCTGTGGCTATGAGTTGTAAAAGAAACATAAGAACAAAAGAAAAGCAATGCTCAATCAGACCAAAGGCCTATCTAGTCCAGTAAACCAGCTGCCCACAGGATCCCTCCAGCAGGATGAATGCAAGACCTCTGTCTGTCCAAGTTCCTCAGCAATGGGTGCATGCAGGCATGCCAGTTCTGGTAAAGTAGGTAGCACATAGCCAGCAAGGCTGATAGCCACTGATAGTTTCCTCTTCCATGGATCTGTCCAATCCCCTTTAAAAGCCATCCAAAATGGTGGCCATCCCCACTTCCCATGACAGCAAATTCCAAAGTTTAACTATATGTTGGGTCCAAACAGCTTCATAGAATGACCCTGGGTGAGATGAAGAAAAATGTTGCTATGTGTTGTTATGTAAGATGAAGAAAAATGTCTCCTTCTTCACATCATGCATTATTTGAAATACCTCTATCATGTTTCCCCTCAGTTGCTTTTTCTCTAAACAGTTCCCATTGTTGCAGCTGCTCCTCACAGGGAGTTGTTCCAGCCCTTTTCTTACCCTTCTCTGTACTTTTTCCAACTCAATAATGTCCCTTTTCAGGTAAGGTGACCAGAACTGAACACAACATTCTGAGTGCAGTTGTACCAAAGATTTTCATAAGGGGAGTAAGATCTTGGATGTTCTATTTTCTATTCTCTTCCCAATTATGTGTAACATAGTTTGCCTTCTTCACAGCAGCTGTACATTGGGCTGACATTTTCATCAAGCTGTCCACTACTACTCCTTTTTTGTTCAGTCATTGCTAGCTTAAATCCTGTTAGTGTACACATGTAGTTAGGATTTTTTTGTGTCCCAACATGCATTACTTTACACTTGCTTATATTGAACTGAATTTGTCGTCGTCGTGGCCATTCCCTCAGCTTTGAGAGATCCCTTTGGAGTTCCTTACAATCCTTTCTGGTTTTAACCCTAAATAGTTTAGTGTCATCTGCAAACTTAGCCACTTCACTACCTACTTCTAATTCTAGATCATTTATGAATAGGTTGAAAAGTCTTAATATGGAATTTTGTGGGACTCCACTGGTGACATCTCTCCATCCATTTATTCTCACTCTCTGTTTTCTGTTCTTTAACCAGTTAGTGATCCATAAGAAAATCCTCCCTTTTATTCCATGACTGCTTAGTGTGCTCAGGAGCCTTTGGTGAAGGATTTTGTCAAAAGCATTTTTGAGGCCTAGTAAACAATGTCTACCAGCTTGCCCCTGTCTATGCGCTTATCGACACTCAAAGAACTCCAGTGAGACAAGACTTCCTCTTGCAAAAGCCATGCTGATTTTTCCCCCCCAGCAGGACCTGTCCCTCTGTGCTTACTGATTCCTTCTTTAATAATGCTTTCAAGCAGTATACCTGGAACAGATGTGAAGCTAACTGGCTTGTAATTTCCTGGATCTTCCTTGGAGGCCCTTTAAAAATTAAATTGGCCATTCTCCAGTCCCCTGATACAAAGGCTGATTTTAGGGACATATTAAATATTTCGATAAGAAGGTCAGCAATTTCATGTTTGAGTTCTTTGAGAACTCCAGGATGGATACAATCTGGACTGGATGATTGCTGATTTTCAGTCTGTCAATAAGGCTGAGAATATCATCTTTTGTCACTACTATCTATCTTAATTCTTCAGACTTCCTGCCAGAATACATTAACTCGGGAACAGGTATCTTCTCTGCATCCTCTGCTGTGAAGACTGATGAAAAAAAATCAGTCTGCTTCTCTGCAATCTCATTATCCCCTGTCCCTTAATGCACCTTTAATTCCATTATCATGTAATGGTCCTACTGCTTCTTTAGTTGCTTTTGTTCTTTTGACATATTTAAAGAATTCTTTATTGTAAGCCTTGATGTTGTTAGCCCAAAGTGCTCCTCTGATAGGCTGCTTGCATCTCCCCTGGGCAAGCTTGTAGTCCCTTCTTTTCTATTTTCATTTGGGCAAGACTTCCATTTTTGAAGTGTTCCCTAATAGCTTCCTTGACTATCCAGGCCCTTGTGCTGCCTTTCCTCACCTGTGGTATGCATTTTGTCTGTGCCTCTATTGTAGTGTCCTTGAAAAATCTTGAACCTCAAAGACAGAGCTTTGTGGGTCCTCCAGGCGTGGGGAGGGAAGGAGACAAGTGCATCATAAGCATATGAAATCAGCTAAGTGTTTTGCAGAATGTCCAGAATTCTCTGAGGGTTGCAGGCAGCCCCATTGGATTATGCAGCTTCTGGCCTAGAAAATTGCTTACAGTAACATTTTTGTAGGCTAAACCTAAATATACTCAGTTTTCATGGTCAACAAATTGTTTATTGGAATACTATTAAGTGTTTTAGGCATAATCTAGTCATTTTACAAGATTTCTGGATGTGAGAGGAACATATGTGACTGAGGATTGCAGTAGTGGGAAAGAATAGTAAAATATAGTACACAGTTTCTAAATTGTGCATAAAGGCCCTAATTGTGGAGACTGGTTAGATATTACTTGTAGTTTGTTCTTTTATCATTGCAACCCATAAATGAATACAGTGCAGTGGCTAGAGCATTGAGGTTTGGTTTTAGGAAACAGGAGGTTCATTTTTCCCGAAACCTCAAATCAGCACTGTATTCCAGCAGTAGAGTGGATAATCTGTCTATATTGTTCACATTGCACACTGAATGGCCATGCAATCATGTCAGCAGGGGCCACAATGCAACACAATGCTGCATGTGTGTAAGCTCCAGTGCACTTTGTGAAACTTTTGATTTAAAGCACAATCTCCGGAGGACAAGGGAAGAAAACCAACATATTGGCTGGAGAGTGCAGGGGCTTGGTAGGATTTTTTCTGTCCAAAGGGGACATAGAATTGTACCCTAAAAAAAAACCTGTTAATGTCTGAGGGATGAAGATAATCCTAAAGTTCAGAAGAGATTCCAGTATTTTTCTTTTCCAGGTTGCTACCTACAGACCTACTTAAGAGATTTCACCCTTAACATGCCAAAGATCACCGTTGGTGTTGACACTGTTGGGACAGCACCGGATGCCTACCCTGAGCCCCTTTTCAATTTTCCTCCTAACTGCTGTTCTTGGCAGCACTGGAAGCTGGTTCTAGCTCCTGTGTTAATTTCCCACAGTTCCCGAGGCCATTGTGGGAAATGTAAACGGGTCCCCTCGCCCCAGGGTGCTGCCAGGTAAACCCACCAGGGCGCACCAGCAGCGGGGGGGGGCACCTGAAGGCATTTCTCCCAAAGCCTCCTCGACCCGGAAACTGAAGTGGGAAGGTTCAATAATTCCACATTTAGCTGGGAAACTTATTTGGCTGCTTCGGGCAAGTCATTTTCTCTCTGCCGACCTTATTTTAGGGGGCTGCGATGAGGTTTACTTGCTGCCCTGAACACTTCGGATGAAAAGGCATATTACAGACGAAATGCATAGCACACACCACCAAAACTATTCATTTTGAGCAAGGGGTGTAAATGTTTTAAAGATACTGCGATACCTATGTGCACAATTTTAACCATGCAAGATTTTGTGTGTGGTGAGGTCAACTCCCCCTTCACAAAAGATTCACTGATGGTATCACAGGTTTCCATGGAAAGCGGCTTTGGGCAAACCGCGGAGTCCCAAATGTTTTGTTATCTCTTCCCCACCCATTTCAGTGCTAGGACTAAAGCAAGGACTTTGCACCGCCACCGCCCGCCTTCAAAGAGCTTTCTGCCAGCAGGGGCGAGAAAGAGGCAGCACTAAAAAAAAAAAAAAGTAAGGAAAAAAAAGCGGTGGGGGAAACGGCCGGGCTCGCGCCCGAGAGGTTGCCCTGTCGCGCGCATCGTGCGTGGGCAGGGCTTCGAGGGTACCTCACGACGATCGCCCTGTGGAAGAAACGGAAACGTTTACAAGGTCCTTCCCGCGCACGCGCAGCCTAGCTGGGGACGCGGGGACGCGCGCGCTGAGCCGCGGCGGCGGGCAAAGACTAGGGAGGGTGGGGGGAGGGAAGGAAGGGAAAGCTGCTGAGGTAAAGTTAGAGTGGGGGTGGGGAACGGAGACGCGGGGGGGGGGGCGAGTGTATGTGTGAGAAAGCGAGCGAGCGCGGCTCCATCAGCGAGGCTAGTGCCGGGGAGGTTCGGCCGCCGCCATTACTAAGCCGTGAACACCGGGGAGGGGAGGGGAATGATGGGGCCAGGCCAGGAGTTCTGAGGGGGCTGCGCGCCGAAGAGGAACGGCGGCCGGCGGCGCGGATCGAGAGTTCCGGGAATGCTGCTGCTCTTGCCGTGGAAGCGCCGGAGACCGAGGTAGGGGAGAATAAAAACCCAGCCCTCCTCTTCAGCCCTCCCCTCGTCGGTCAGCGCTGGCCTCTTCCCCCTCTCGGCTCTGCTCTCCACCCCGCCAACTACACCCGAGCCCATTAGCTGCCGCACCACTCGGGGTCGGAGCCGGGCTGGTGCCGCAGCAGCTCGGGCTGAGCTGCTTGTCGCCAATTCCGAGGAAGCCCGGAGCCGCCGCCAGTGGGAACTGCTGAGTGAGAGCTGGGCAGATCCTAGCTCCCCTTTCTTCCCTTCCCTTCCTTCCCTTCCCTCTTCCTTCCTTCCCTCCCTCCTTCCTTCCTTCCTTGTTCGAGCCTGCTCCATACCTACACACCCCGGGAGGGAGGGGTGGTTCGACGCCTGGCTCGCTCTGGTCCCAGACAGGTGATGAAGGCCCGAGTCAGCGGGAGGGTCGAAGCCTGCTCTGCCAGGTTCTGGCTGCGACGGCTGCCAGCTGGTCACGGCTTCTTCAGAGTGAGGGAGGGCAGGAGGAGGGCGACTCGCGGGGAAGGGGGCAACTACCTTTTCCTCCTCATCCCTTTCGCTGTCTCACCCCTCGCCCGCCCTCTCCCCCGTTCCTGCTGCCCGTTCTGCTTCGCAGTTCGAAGGCGTACATTCTTTTCTTTTTATTCTCCTCTGTTGCCCACTCCACCCCCTTTCTGTGCCCTCTGGCCGCCTCCCCAAATCTCGCTGTAGCAAACTTTAAAGAAGTGACTGGCCTACTCCCCCCCAACCCTACCCCCATCTCCATAGGGTGGGTACAGTGTCTTTTGAAAAACAAGGATAGGCAGGCTGTGTAGCATATTACAATGTTCGTTCTTGCCTCTGAAGTCCTGGATCTCCTCTGTCAAGGGAAAACACTTGATGGAAGTCTAAAAAGGACAGCTTAATGTGGGGAGATGCTTAATAAGTTCAGGGAGAGGGTAAAAAACTGCCAGCTTGCTGATAGCCTTTTGGAGGGGGTGGGCTATATGGTATTTCAGAAAGAGTGTGGAAACCTTCCATGTGTCCATATGTACGTGATGCTTCCATCAAAGATTTATCTGAAAAATAAAAAAAATGTTCTAAAACTAGACTAAAATAGGCTGGTGGGTGGTTGTGCATGTTAAGTTTAGGTTCTGGAGATAATTAGTGTATTTCCTTCTAGCTTAGATATGAGCAGTTGCCAGATTTCTTAGGTCTACACTGCATAGGAAGGCATTACAATGGATCCAAACAGTTACGGATCAATTGTACTTCCATTTTATCTGTATATTTAGAAGGATTTCATTTAAAGAAATTATGACATTTGCTTTAGTGTTAATAATTTCATATGAATAAGTAATATATTTCAGTATTGCCTTGTTTTTAGCATATATTAATTTCAGACTGTTACTAATCACAGTCCACATGATTAAATCATATATGAGGATCCTGAACATTTTGTGTGGCTATTTTAGAATATATATTCTCTCTCTCTCTAAACACACACACACACACACACACACACACTAAAATAATATATTAGAAAGCATGAAGATATTGCTGTAAGTTCATAGTATCAGTACTTGAAATTTGAGTGTGAACTATTCAGTGTAGCTTATTGCACTAATGATCAAGCAGCCTCTTGTCTATAAAACTCATGTCATGTTACATCAGTTTTAGTGTATGCCTAAGCATAATTATCAGAAGTTCCATTGAGTTAAATGGAACTTACTTCCATTCAAAGTGCCTTGAATTGCATGTTTGCTCATAAGTTTTACTATAGTCTGTAGGGTTTACTCTCAGGTAAGTGCACATAGAATTTCAGCCTTCATTCCTAAAAATGCTACATCTGTCATATTGCCTGGTTGATAACACTTGTTTATTCTAATTTTAACGTTAAAGCTTATTATCTATTTGGCATGTAAATTAGCTCAATGAATAGATATTATAGGAGAAGATAGTTGTACCAAGATATTTTTGTACTACCAAAATGCACTATGGCATCACCCAAGTACCCCAACCTTGATTTGGCAACCGATTTATCTATACTATTTACAATTTGAAAGATAATCTTACTGTATTTATGTTTCTTTTGTGGGTTCCAGTTTATTTGTGCAAGTGCTATCATTCCTTTTATCAAACATGCTCCAAGAACTTCTTCCAAGTCTTCTGGGTGTCAAATTTCATCACTTAATTTTGAAAATTAAGTCACATTTTTCTAGCACTGAGGCTTTTTATGCACTGATAATACACCTTGCAGTCCATGAACCACTTACTTATAGTTAAGGCCTGTACTGAAGGTTCTACCTCTTTACTTATTGAAGAGCTTTTATTATTCAGCTTTTAACAATCCAATATGACTTTATAACACATTCTTTAAGATATTTTTACTTCTTAAACATGTAAATATATCAAATGGATGCTAAAAATTTCTTCTCTCATATTTGCTAATAGTCTGTTACATTATCAGTGTACTCTGTAGAATATTGGAGTAAGTAAGGGTCATCTGTTGAAACATATCTTGGAATCACATGGTTTAAATTTAGTTCTGAACATGAAAGATTAGGTTGGTAAAACAAACTTTACTTAAAATAGTTTTACTGGATGAGTTATACCTATTATTGGGTTTGGATGAAGCACTGTGGCTCATTGTAGGTTAGTTAACCCATGGCAATCTATGGTGCCCTCAAGTGCCAGGGTGTATATGCAACTACGCTGCGGTTGTCATTTCATGTGAACCTAGCAAGTCGGTTATGTGAAAGTTGTTTAACTCACTGGCCATTTTAGGGTTACACAAAGGTTGTTTAACTCTTACTGAATTTCCATGTCAAGACAACCACAGAGTAGAGGCTGTATAATAAAAATAGTGGCCCCATATGTACCATAGCCTCATGAAGGGCTGTGATGCAAACAGCACTAGTAAATTGATGCCATAGATTTATCCTTCAGAGACTTCTTGTCTTCCTGCAAAGTCTCTGACATAGTGCTGTTTGAAAGCTAAAGAACTAAACTCAAACAAGTGAGGGAGCAAACGTAGCAGTTTTCTATAGGATATTTCAGTTTCTTAGCACCAAGGTTAGAGACAGGTGGAAATCCAAGCTTCAACCCCCATCTCCATTGCAGCCAACATGGATAGAACTACACTGGCTGCTTTTCTGCCCAAATAGAGCTAAAAATGACATTCTGATGGGTGCGGACCAGGACACAAAATATTCTGAAGTCTTTCCAGCCTCCTTCTATACCTCACCAATATGTTTTGCTAGTTGGACAAGAGCCGATCTAGTGAAAATGCAGAGCATGAAGGCAAGGTGGCAAAGATGGTCTGCTGCTTCTCCTGCTCTCCATAGGATGCTGATAAGCCTTCAAGCTTAATGCCTGCAAGCATTGAACATCCAACCCATAGGACTATGCTCTAAATTAACAATATGTATAGTATGTGAAAGCAATAATTCATATTTTGCAAATCTTTTAATCTGAAAAATACAACTCATAACTTCTAAAATCTTTGGATTTGGAACAACTGGGTGTGTGCTCTAGCCACTGTTGAAAATCCATAACTATACCATCGTATAACTCTTAACAACTCTGCACATAAGAAATTCTTTACTTTAAAAGGTGGTTCCTTTTTATTATATAAATTACTATAAAAAGTACCTAAGTTAAAAATGGCAAAATAGATGCACAATTAAGAAAGATTTGCTAATTGTAAATGGTGCATGTGTGATCAGTTGGTTGGGTTTTCTTGTGTTAAAAGTGGTGGAAGCATTGACTGAGCCTTTTCCACTGTGGATTAGGTCTACAGATATTATGAGGTGTAGAAACTGAATAATTCTGTAACTTGTTATGGATCTCACAATGTTTATTATCAGAACTAGAGTGCTTGTCCTGACAGAGCCTACTGACTTTACTCTAGAACTTAGAAGAGAGGTAGAATCTGTTCCACTTCATGTTAGCCTTTGGAAGAAGCCCAAAGCATTGCAGGTTTCTCTTACTGCTTTCAGCTTTCTACATTGTCTAATAAAAAGTAAGATGTTGTCAGTTATGCTATGCTGTGAGAAAGGATAAAAGCAGCAAGAGAGACTCAGGGTTTCTTTTGCCTTACTCCAAAAGTGAAAGATGACAAGACCACTCCTTCTCATCCTGAATCCCTCATGTGCCAGATGATTTTGACTGGACAATTTGGTTTGTCACGCTTGTCAAATATTGGAAAGTTGATAAAGCATGGGTAACAAAAGTTGGTTCTTTTTGTGGTGGTACAGAGGAGGTTAGGCTTTACCAAAGTTATTGCTAGTAATTCCTTGGGGCCTCAGCAGCTGTGTGTTCGATCACTGCATTGATATCTGGAATCTATTAACTCATTTGGTCATGGAAGTATTCATTAACTGCAGTATTTAAGTACTGTGATATGAAGTCATTTAAACTCTTTTGTCAAGAGTTCTGTAAGTAGGATACCTGTGATCAAAAATTCTGTATAGGTTTATACTCCTTCCTTTAAAAATGAATATTTGAAGTACTGACCAACTCAAATGTGAGCCATTCAACTTATCATAATCATTTGAATATAGCTTTGTTAAAATATTTAGGCTTGGATTCAGGGAAGTTAGTCATTCTATTTAGCTCAATTCAAATCAATGGGAAAAGCTAGGTATGATTAACTGATGCATGACTGTCTTAATCTGGAGCCAGCCTTTAGTATCTTTGGTATCTGACTTTTTAGGTCATCCTCTTGATACAACACTGCTTACATGTTATTTACATGTTTTCACTTGCCACATGGTTTTCTTTCTTTTTTTCTGCATCTATATTTCAAGATCTAAAAGTCTGGAAGTTTTAGTAAGTTGTTACAGTCTGTTAATAACTTTCTAAACTAGACAGATATTCGCAAACATAATTTTACTTCTTGAAGAAAAAATATATTTCTTACATTAAAATACCTTTATTTGATTAGTTTTGAAATAAATAAATATAATTAACAATTGTTTTGTTGTTGAAATAAATCCATATCATATTTGAAATTGCAACTTATATCAGCTTCTGGTATGTCTAAAGAGGATGGGGGATTTGAAATTAGAGACTGAATAGTTATAGCTGTGATAATTATTTTCATTAAACTTCTACAGATCACCTCAAAAGGAGGTTCAAGGTATGTTCTGTCATGAAGATTCAATCAGTAATGGTATATGAGAAAAGTTGTTCTTGGAAGGGCATTGCATTGTGGTGTGTTCATACTAGATGTCTGACTGGTTTGTTTACCAATTGGTATGATTTACCGAATGGTATGATCTTACTGGTATGATTGTATGCTGATCAAACAAGCAACTGAAATACATTTTAGAGAACACAAGGGACTGTCAGAGAATTAACATCTCTGCAAAAAACCTAACCATCAAAATCTAAAGTACAAGAAAGACAATTTTAACATAACATCTCTGAAATATGATACTTAATGGTTTGCTTCATTCCCTCTTATCTCAACATAGTGTGGACTTTTAGTGATATGTATTATTGATATGTATTATTATTATTTTCACCTTCCAATAGCTGCGGCTCTTCTTAGTATATGGATAACACTCAATTCTCATGCTCTTTTTCATGTGGTCTAGGTCAGGCAGTGGGCATTCTGATTGAATGTCCGGGGACAGTGATGAGGCTGAATAAACTGAGGTTTAATCTAGATAGGATAGGGAATTGATGGTGTGGAGGACCTCTGACTCTAGTTTGATATTTATCCTATTTTGGATGAGGTCTTATTCTTGCTTAAACTTCAGGTTCACACCTTGTTTGTGCTTCTGGGTGTAGGTGGTATCTGTAACTAGGAGTGCTTTTCATAGCTTCTGTTGGTTTGCTAGCTGCACCCTCTTCTGGAGAGTTTCAAAAGACTCTGCCACTGTCACGCTTGCCTTTGTAACATTCAGATTAAGATTATTACAGTGCACTTTATATGGAGCTGTCTGAAAAGAATTCAAAAGTTATATTTTATGGCAAAATTAATTGACACCTACTGCTTTGAGTATATAATAAACCCTCAAAGGTCTTCACAAGACTTACGGTTGAATTTTGTGACAACTGAAAATCAGATGTTGATATATGAAACTGTGTTCATACTCAGATCTTTAACTGAGCTTTTGCTTTGTGTGCTGGCTTCACTACAACTATGACAGACTGTGAATTGTGGTAGCTAAATTATGAAGTGAACTCCTAAGAGAGGTCTCTCCATGCACCTGTTAGGAGGCAGGTTAAGACCACCTTTCCCGAGAGCTTTAGGGGGAAGAAAGGCTTAGGTTGCAGTTTTCTGTGGTGCTTTGTTTTCTTTTGTTTTTTTATTACTGATGCTTCAGGCAGTTTTAATCCCAGGTTTCTGCTTTAAATTTGTATCTCTCAGTGCAATACAAAATATTAAGCATTGTATTTATTTGCTATTAATAGCTGCTTTGGATATCTCATGGAGAGAGTGGAACCTGAGTCTGTAAGGAAACAGTCCAATGCATGTTAAGACAGAAGTCCTACAGCTCTCAGCAGACCCCAAAGACATACATAGGAGTACACTGTAAAATAAACTTTAATGCCTGATAGATGACAGTAACTTTGATGTTCAGGAAAACTTTATTTTTTTCTCCTCTACAGATTTTTAAGTGCAGACCTAAGACTACAAGTAGTAATGGTGTACTTTAATTTGTTTGTTACAAATGTCTACTAAGAATATGACTTGTAATACAGCCCTTATTAAGCATTTTAAAACATTAAACTATTTTTAAAGTGCTACCCTTATGGTGCATGTTGTTTAAATTGACTTAAACTAAGATGATACCATTGTATGTTGCCCTATTTTGATGGTTGTACATTCACATTTTTAAAACTGTGTCATCTGATGGATTTTCAGATCTCTCAGGGAGGAACCATTTGAACATCCCTTAAATGTGTGACATTCCTGACAAGAAGATCTTTAAAAGTATTTCGGTCTCCTTGCATGATCTTCTGTAGGGGTAAGTTTGAGTTTCTAAGTGTTTGAAAACTAGTAGATATGTAACATTACCAGAAAATCTCAAATTGTGATATGGATAAAAAGTTACAAAACGCAACTGACAGGAAAACTTGTGTGTGAATGCTTCCAATTTTAAGTACCTTCGCAAACTGATTTTTTTAAAAAAATCAAGAAAAACTAGAGTAGGTCACATTATTAGATTATGACATGTCAACTCAGCACTGTCACTGAATTTTCTGATTTTGGTTTCTGCACTAGTCTCATGCCACAAGAACTTAGATCGTAATTGGACTTTTTTTTAAAAAAGTATGTTTGTTGTTGTCACCAGTGGTCTGCTTCATATCAGGCACTGTAATGGTTTCTTACAGAAAATTTTCTAGCTGCTTTTTGCCCCCAAAAGTACTGTTGGCAGTAAACAGTGTCTTTGGAGGCAAATAGCAGGTGGTGGTAGTGCTGAGTGGAAAGCCATTGCTGGATTCTGATTCAGATCAGGGACACAAGTCTACCTTTCCTTCCAAATAAGTGCCAGTATTGAGCTTACTTTTCCAAATCCATGCTTAACATAGTATGTAGTTATATTCACTTCTGTGTCTGCACAATGGCTACCTTCCACATTCTCCTGTACCAGAGTTCCCAGCATTGGAACTCAACTGCTTACAATGTTTTCCTGTTCTATTCCTCACCTTCTTGTAGAGTCCACCCTTTTAATATACTCATCCTGACAGCTATCCTTTGTCCCCCTTCCTCTACTTGTGTATAGTCTTGGGGGCAGGCTGTTCTATGTTCATCAGACTTTAAGCAGTGTGTGGTATCTAATTGCTGCTTGAATGTTCAATGAATCTCTTCCACTCAAAGTTGCTTTTCCATGTTTTAATAATATGTCCTGGAGGATATGTTCTGCCTTTAACAAACCCACTTTTCCAGCAGCCCAGGTGAGAGAACTTTAAATTTTGGAGAGCAAGAATGCTCAGAGAGAGGGGGAGGTTGTCTTACAGCAGCTAAGGTAGTCTGTTAGAAACACTGGAGCAGTTTTTTGGGAGAGATTCTATTCCGGGTGGTATTAGGAAGGGTTTATTCCCTCTCTAGGAATGTTGCGGATATGACCTGTGGGTTGAAGGAGGAAGTTGCCACATTTTCAGTTTCTCTATGGCTGCTTGGTTCCTGTTCTTCAATTGCAGAGCTGCTTTGTACCATATAGTCTCTTTTGCTCTTTCCTCTAGCACTGTTTTTTATTGGAACTTAGCTAAAGAACTTTTGAAATCCCATCCTCTACTCCTTGCCTGAGAATATATTCCTTTTAAATACATTACAGTCAACAGAATTATCTACTGCTTTATTCCAAATGCAGATAGATTTTTTTTTGAGAAAGGAAGTTTGTTTTGTAAATGTCTGAGTGGACAATTTCAAAGCACATTGGATCAGTGCCCGATTCCTTCCTTCCACATTTTTACTTCTATATTTCTCCATTCTACTTGCCACTGGCTTCTCTATTTTCCTCATCTCCATCCTTACATACCTTGCTGAAATGAATGCTTGTCAAATTTTGTACTCAGGTTTGTTTTGTTGCCCTGAGATTGATCATGAAAACCAACTGTTTTGCTGCTGCAAAGAAGGAAGAAAAATGGGAATGGATTTCTTTGGAAGGGAGACTCTCTGAACCCTTTAAATCCTTGTTTTTAAAGCAGATGCATGATATGCTGTAATGTGCTGGGCCTTTTCAATAATGTTGAGAACATTGTTAGAACTTTAGAACAAGAACTGAACGCAACTCAGGCTTATGGGGAAAATGCTCTTATTATTTATTTATTTATTTATTTATTTAAAGCTTTTATATGCCATCACCATATGCCTCGGCATCCCAGGAAGGCTCACAGCACATACAATTAAAAACAATAAAACAATAACAAATACCATAACATATTACTGTATTTTTTGCTCTATAAGACGCACTTTTTCCCCTTCAAAATAAAGGAAAATGTCTGTGTGTCTTATAGAGCGAATATGTGTGTGCACTAAGTCTGTGAGATGTGCAGCCCATGGGGAAGTGATGGGGAAAGTGCCTGTGATTATGTGCCCATCTGATTCAGAATATTCTTTTTCTTGTTTGCCTCCTCTAAAAACTAGGTGCGTCTTATGGTCAGGCGCGTCTTATAGAGCGAAAAATATGGTATATAAAAACAAAAAGAGCAACTGTTAATGATAAAATATTCATTTTTAAAAATAGCAATCAAATATAAACCTGGCGCTAAAAAGAATATAAACTCGGTGCCAGGCACACCTCTTCAGGAAGCACATTCCATAAACTGGGCACAGAAAAGGCCCTGCTCCAGGTGGATGTTCTTTTTATCTCCTTTAAAGAGGGCTCCCGGAGCAGAGCCTCTCCCACAGATCTTAAGGGGCATGAGGGCATGTAAGGGAAGAGGCGCTTCTTCAGGTATCCTGGTCCCAAGCCATTCAGGGCTTTATAGGTTAAAACCAGCACCTTGAATTGGGCCCGGACTTCAACTGGAAACCAGTGTAGCTGGTAGAGGACCGGCGTTATATGAGAATAACAACCGGTCCCTGTCAGCAGTCTGGCAGCTCTGTTCTGTACCAGCTGAAATATCCGGACTGTTTTCAAGGGCAGCCCCACGTAGAACGTATTACAGTAATCCAACCGGGAGGTTACCAGAGCATGAATCACCATCGCTAGGCAGTGCTTGTCCAGGTAAGGGTGCAGCTGGTGGATCAGCTGAAGCTGTAGGAGAGCATTCATTGCCACCGCCGCTGCCTGGGATTCCAGTGACAGCTCTGGGTCAAGGAGCACTCCCAAGCTGCAGACCCTGTCCTTTAGAGGGAGTGCTACCCCGTCCAGGACAAGATCAAAGTCACTTATGTGAAACCGCAATCCACCCACCAACAGGACTTCCGTCTTGTCTGGATTGAGGCTCAGTTTATTGGCCCTCATCCAGCCCATTACCTCGGCCAGGCACTGGTTCAGCACAGCTACCGCTTCATCTGGAGTAGATGTAAATGAGAGGTAGAGCTGAATGTCATCAGCATACTGGTGACACCGCTGCCCAGACCTCCTAATGACCTCTCCCAGTGGTTTTGTGTAGATCTTGAAAAGCATGGGGGACAAAATAGAGCCCTGCGGAACCCTATGGCACAACTGCCACAGCGCAGAGCTATAGTCTCCCAGCACCACCTTCCAGAGTTGGCCAGCCAGGTAGGAGCAGAACCACTGCCAAGCAGAGCCTCTTACTCCTAACCCAGCCAGCCTATCCAGAAGGATACCATGATCGATGGTATTGAAAGCTGCTGAGAGGTCCAGGAGAACAAACAGGGACGCACTCCCCCATCCCTCTCCCTGCACAGGTCATTGTACCGGGGGACCAAGGCAGATTCAGTGCCATAACCAGGTCTGAAACTGGACTGAAATGGGTCCAGATAATCCGTTTCATCCAAGCGTGCCTGGAATTGTCCCGCCACCACCCACTCTAACACCTTGCCCAGAAACGGGATGTTGGCCACTGGTCTTAAATTGGCAGCCACCTCTGGGTCCAGGGATGCCTTCTTCAGGATAGGCCGGATCACCGCCTCGTTCAAGGGGGTAGGGACCCGGCCTTCCCTCAGTGAGGCATTGACAACCTCCCAGACCCAGGGACCAGTCCCGTAACTGGCTTCTTTAAGTAGCCAAGAGGGGCAAGGGTCCAAGAGACAGGTGGTAGGACGTACCATTCCAAGCACCTTGTCCACATCATCAGGCCGCAATAACTGAAACTCATCCAATAACGATGGACCAGACAGCGCTCTGGACACCTCCTGTACTGGATTCAAATCAACTGTGGAGTCCAGATCATGGCAAATCTGAGCGATTTTTTCCATGAAGTGCTGGGCAAAGTCGTCACAGCAGGCTGCCAAAGGTGCGATCACTTCCTTCTCCTGGCCAGAATATATCAGGCCTCTCACCACTCGGAAAAGCTCTGCCGGATGGAACTGTGAGGAAGCAATGGAAGCAGAGAAGAACCGCCTCTTTGCTGCCCTCACCTTCACAGCATAGGCATGATAATGTGCATGCAAATGTGTTCGGTCAGATTCGTCCCGAGATTTCCTCCACTATGTCTCCCAGTCCGCTTCATCGCCCGCAACTCAGGCGTATACCATGGTGCTGAGCGGGTTCTGCTAGGTGGGAGAGGACGCTTAGGAACGATCATGTCGATTGCCCTGGTCATCTCCCTATTCCACGAGTCAACCAGGACATCAGCAGGAGCGCCAGCTTTATCTGCCGGAAAATCCCCCAGAGCCTTCAGGAATCCATCTGGATTCATCTGGCTCCAGGGCCGAACCATCCTAATATGGCCTGCACCCTTCTGGAGGGAGAGATTAGACCCGAGCTCAAACCTCACGAGGAAGTGGTCTGACCATGACTGAGGAGTTAAGATCAAGTTAACCCTTTATTTTGTGGGAATGGCAAGCTACCACATGCTGAGAGGAAATGGTTAAGCAATCTGCAAGTGTTCAGATACTTTTTTCTATATTCTAGCAAGCTAGTAGAAATAATTTTTGTATATAAACACATATAATTTGTGGAACCATGGGTATGCTGTGTATATGCTAAAGTACCTTCTTAGATGAGGAGAGACTTGTGTGAGAATCTCAGGAGCGGGAGTAGAGGACCTTGTATAGATTGCTCTTTCCTCATGGTTGACATTGGGAGTAGGCAGAGCATTCTGTGTGAAGCTTTCCCTTCTCGAGGAGATAATGGAGAAAATTTTCTTTACTCTGTACTTCAGCAGTCCTGATGAATATCAGTGCATACACAATAACTAATAAGGGAGAAAGTGTTCACTAAAGAGAAAAGGGCTAAGAGGAAGGAACATACAGATCCACGTCCCATTACCTATCCTTTATCAGTGATTAGTGGGCAGGCAGCATTATGTTTCTGGGTTTCATCTGCTAAGTGTTAGCTTGTCCCAAACAATGGGGAAAGCCTTCACTTATCGCAAATCAATAGTTGTA